CTCTCTCTCTCTCTCTCTCTCTCTCTCTCTCTCTCTCTCTCTCTCTCTCTCTCTCTCTCTCTCTCCCTCAGAGCGGTCACATGCCCTGTGTAAGGGTGTGGGAGGTGGGTGGCGGTCAGGTGGCCGAGGTTCAGTGTCATAAATATGGAATTTCGTGCGTAGCGTTCTCCACCAACAGCTGTTACATCGTCTCGGTGGGATATCAACACGACATGACTGTTAGTGTGTGGGACTGGAGGGTGAGCGCACACTTACACAACACAAACATTCCTAATAATCAGTAATAATTCTATTTCAGTTCAGGTAGTCAGAGTCACTGTATTGATCCAGTTCACAGGATTTGATTCCAGATTTGATAATTGTGAATGTTAACGTGACGTCTCGTTATCAGAAAGGTTCCATCATCGCCTCTAACAAAGTGTCCAGCAGAGTCTTCGCCGTCTCCTTCTCTCAGGACAACAGCTACTTCATCACTGCAGGAAACAGACACGTCAAGTTCTGGTACCTGGACGCCTCCAAAGAACGACGGGTACAATCAGCCAATCACAGATCAGCCTCAGCTCATTTAAAGTCTGCTCAGCCAATCACAGTTCACTTTGGAGTGACAGCTCTACCCTCCTCTTTCCCTCCTTGTTTCCCCCTCCGTACTTAGGTGAACAGCACGGTGCCTCTGATTGGTCGTTCAGGGTTGCTAGGTGAACATAAGAACTGCGTGTTCAGTGGAGTGGCGTGTGGGCGTGGCCTCACGGCGTCCAGCACCTACTGCATTACCAGCACCGGTCTGCTGTGTCTGTTCAACAGCAGCCGACAGCTGGAGGCCTGGGTCAACCTCAAGGTCGCCGAAGAGGGAAACAGACTAATTGAAATTTTTAACAAACAGCTGTACAATAATAAAGTAAAACTGTTGTTGACAGACGGCGTCGGCGAGTTGTCTGTCCGTCGGTGAGGACCACGTCTTCTGTGGCTGCGCAGACGGTCTGATCAGAGTGTTCAATCTGTTAAACCTTCAGTACGTCACCACGCTGCAGCGACCTCACAGACTGGGAGTCGACATTAGTCAGAGCCAGCACAGGTACAAATACTGAAAACACGGAGTATGATACTGAAAAAACCCGGATAAAACTCTGATCGTCACCTGCTCTGTTCTCAGCAGCCTGTTTCCTGTCAGTCCAGATGCTCACTTCCCTGACACCTTGGCTCTGACCTTTGACCCTGCTGCCAAACACCTGACCTGCGTATATGACGACCACAGTTTGTATGTGTGGGACGTCAAAGACGTGAGGAACGCAGGGAAGCTGTACTCCGCCATGTACCACAGCGGCTGTGTGTGGAGCGTCGAGGTGAGAGATGCCACGCAAATACTACCAGGATGTAAAAAGTACCAAAGATGCTACAGTGTGTGTGTGTGTGTGTGTGTGTCAGGTGTATCCTCAGCTGTCAGACGTGTCCCAGGCGTGTCTGCCTCCCTCCTCCTTTCTCACCTGCTCATCTGACAACACCATCAGAGTGTGGCACACCGACCCGCCCACCGCCGCCCCCCCACACAGGAACCTGTACAGCAATGTAAGATACACACACACACACACACACACACACACAGGCAGGAACCTATAGTGCAACATAAGACACAAACACACACTGTGTGTGTTGTACAGGACCTGTCAAGGATTGTGTATGTGGGCGAGAACACGCAGCACCTGCAGGCAGAGGGGAGGAAGGCAGAGGCAGCAGGGGCTGATGGGAAGTGCGGGATCAGAGTGCTGGCTATCAGTCCGGACGGACGACACCTGGCTGCAGGAGACCGCTGTGGAAATCTTCAGTGAGACGCACATACGCACTCTGACACACAAACACACACGCACAGTGGTGATAGGTGTGTGATGAGGTCACTTCCTGTCTCTTCAGTATCTTCGCTCTAGAGTTTCTGGACGAGCTGGTGAAGATCGAGGCTCATGACTCTGAGGTTTTGTGTCTGGAGTTCTCGCCGACGTCTACAGGTGAGGCCTCAGTTCAAAGGTCATCCTCGGGATAATGAAAATGTCATAGCGCCATCTTCTGTGTCGTGGTTTCAGGTGTGAAGCTTTTGGCGTCAGCCAGCCGGGACCGACTGATCCACATCTTCAACCTGGAGAAGAACTACAGTCTGGAACAGACTCTGAACGACCACTCAGCCTCCATCACTGCCGTCAAGTTCACAGGTGACTGAGTTCACGGAGGAAGAGTTTGGAGAGTTTGCAGATGATAAAGTGAAAGTCAGCGGAGGCAGAAAGTGAAATGATGTTTAGAAATCAGTGCGTTGACGGTTTGAATGTGTCCCCTGTTCTCCAGGTGAGAGTCCAGAGGTTCAGATGGTGAGCTGTGGAGCTGACAAAAGCATCTACTTCCAGACGGCCGAACAGGTCCGTTTTCTTTTGAATTAAACACTTCCTGTTTCCCACGATTCCCTGTGAATGAACAGTGGCCTTGTCTGATCTGTCGTCCAGACGGTGGAGGGTTTGTCTTTCTCCAGGAGTCATCACGTGGTGGAGAAGACGACGCTGTACGACATGGACCTGGACTCCTCGAAAACACATGTAGTCATCGCCTGTCAGGACCGAAACATCAGGTAGAAAACCACCTGACGGGATGTCTAACGGAAAATAAAAAGATGTTTCTCCTCCAGATGTTCTGATGTTTCTGTTTTTTAAGAGTTTATGATGTGGAAACTGGGAAGTTGAAGAAGTGTTTGAAAGGTTCGTCCAGCGATGAAGGAGCTCTGCTAAAGGTAAGGACGCCGTCTGGTTACTGCATCTCATCGGAAAACCTTTTAACTCAAAACCACGAGACCAGAAATACGTGTTCCTGCAGGTTCAGATGGACCCGTCTGGGAGTTTCTTCGCCACCAGCTGCTCAGATAAAAATATCACCATCTTTGACTACGAGTCAGGAGAGTGTGTCGCCACCCTGTTCGGACATTCAGGTGAGTAGATCCAGCCCCCCTGTAGGCATGTGATAAACATGTATGTTCAGGTGTTTGACGTGTCTTTGTGTCCTCAGAGATCGTCACCTGTATGAGGTTCAGTCAGGACTGTCGACACCTCATCACTGTGTCAGGAGACAGGTAAACTCTGCTGATGTCACAGGAAACTGAACTCATCCACCTGTTTTTAAGTGTGTGTGTGTGTGTGTGTGCCTAGTTGTGTGTTTGTGTGGCGACTGGACGCTCAGATGACCTCCACCATGAGGAAGAGGCGGGGCCTCAGACTGAGAGTTGCACCTGACACCCGCCACCAAAAACCTCTGAACATCAGGTTGGTGATGTTGAACAAAGACGGCGTTCTGAGTCGATCCTGGTAAACGGAGCAGCTGACATGTTTGTGCTTGACATTGTTTCTGTGATCAAACCTGTTTCAGGAGGGAGACGTTCATCACTGTTCCCTCATCTCAGCTGCATCAGACGGAGGAAGAGGAAGAGGAGTCGGACCTCAGTACTCCGGCCAGACTGGACTTTGCTCAGGGTGAGGAAGAGGACATTTTCTTCAGTTTCTCTGATCAATAAAGTTTTGACTATCAAAGTTGTGAAGCTAAAGTATAAATAGTCTAAAATATCTCAGATACAAACGCTGCCATCTTGTGGTGATGATCTTGTTTCTCTTTGTGTTTCAGATTCAGTTCCGCAGCTTCAGACCAACGGGAAACTGCCCCTGTGGTTCAGAAAAGTGGTCAGTTCAAGTCCGTACGACGATTAGAGTCCGGATCAATAGCAGATAATCAGTCCGTCCTGTGTTTACTCTGCGGGTCGATGAAGTTCAGGTGTTTGTGTGTTCAGCAGAGTCAGGGCGGAGCCTCCACTGCCGACCAACCGGATGCTGGGCCTCGTCAGAGTCGCAGTCGGTGGACGGAGCAGCTGAACCCTCTGACTATCTGCTCCAACTGCTCCCCGAGTCCCACCAAGAGTCCAGAGGAGGAGGAGGACGACGACGAAGACTTCCACCCCCAGAGTCTGGAGAGTTTGCTGGGAGAGAACCAAGAGGAAGAAGAAGAAGAAGAGGATGACGAAGACTTCCACCCCCAGACTCTGGAGAGTCTCCTGAAAGATGGAGAGGAAGACAAGAAGGAGGTGAGTGTTGAAACACTTCCTGTTTCCGGTTCTGAGCGGCATATTGATTGAAGTGAACAGTGGAAACAATGTGGAACTGTCCAAATACTTATGGCCTGGACTGTGCTTCCATGGGATTCCAGAGATGAAGCCGTTACATTCGAATGTTTCCAGATATAGTTTTCATCAAGTCGTGAAAATATAAACTTATTTAAAAACTGTGTGTTGATGCTCAGGTGCTGCAGCCTGCAGGGGAGAACAGGACCAGCTATGTCCTCCACCCCAGCAGCAGCGCCACCGACAGGTGAGAGACGGCACAGCACAATAGTCAGACCTTCTGTTTCTGCTGTGTTTTTGATTTGCTTGTTTTTATGGGTTTGTCGTTTTTAGGAAATTTGACGCTGAAGCCGTCCCCGACACACAGACATCTCTGACCCAGCTGGAGGGCAGAGATCAGGGGGCGGAGCCAGTGTGGAGAACTCAGCTGAGCCCAGACTCCGCCTGCTCCGAGGGATCTGCAGGAAGCATGGAGCAGCCTCATGATGCCGGTCCGACCTCAGATCAGTTACTTCTGCAGACTTCATGTCAACAGTGATTTTATTGTCAACGTCATGGTCGAAGGTGCCGTGAAGTAACGAGCTCGTTCGTCTCTCACAGACACAGACTCTCTGAGTCAGGGCAGCTCTGTGGGCAGTTTGGGTCCAGAGGACGACGACGACAGGAACTTGTTAAAGAACCACTTTGACACGCTGGCGTCGAGTCAGAGTGAAGGTACGAACCACAGCTGAGACTTAACTCTTTCCTCTACCGTGTGTAATCAGACCGAATATTCGGATTTCTGTTTGTGTTGTGAAACTCGACCACAGGAACAAGTTGAATCACAACGTTTGAGACTGTTTGAGTTATATTTATATTCACCTGTGAACTTTGACCTTTCAGAGAAGTTCGACACTGACCTCAGGACTCTGCAGCCTCCGGAGGAAAAACACTTCCTGAACCCTCGACTCAGCATCTCCGCCCGCTTCCTGTCCCGATTCCAGGACAGACTCAGGTTGGTCGGGTCACCTTTGACCCACCGGAGATGGTTGCTGACTTCGTGTTGTGGTTGTCATAGCGATGACCGCTTGTCATTGGTGTTTCTTCAGGGTCTGGCCGAGTCGAGCTCCACCTCTCATCTCCATCCCGACCAGGATCTCAGAGGAGAGCGTCAACAACACGTCGGTACGGACCAGACATGTACACGCTGACATCTCATTGGCTGTTTACTGCAGCAACACATCAACATGGCCGCCGTGTTTGAACAGAGACAGAAATTCAAAAGAAGAGCTCCACTTTTCAAAATCTGAAGCAATGTCTTCACAGCCAGAACCTCCAGAACATGTCAGAAGTTCACTTCATGTCTGAAAAGAAACTTCTAAAACTTTCCCTGTCATCGTTTCTGTAAATCATCCACATGACGTGTGAATGTCTGAAGCTCGTGTGATGAATGTTTGTTTCCAGGAGATCGTGGAGTCGAGCAGCGACGTCGTATCGACCGAGTCGACGAACGGAGCGAGCTGCAACTGTGAGTCAGCAAAGTTTGTTTTATCATGTGATCACTGCAGCTGTTCAATAATCGTTCATGAGTCCAGGTGTGTGTGTGTGTGTGTGTGTGTGTGCGCGACCACAGCCAGATGCAGCCCGTCTGTCCTCCGTAGAAGAGCTTCCTGCATTATATCCCATCAGCCCCTTCACCGCCCAACACGTCGACGCCGCCGCCACACTGTGGTGGTCGTTCAGTGCAGAGAGACGCTGGGAGGT